CTATATTTATCTTCATTTTTAAAGATACAGAACAATGGTAATAAAGCTGTATATTTGTTTTATTTATTACCAGAACAATGGTAATAAAACTGTATATTTGCACTTTTAAATTCCTTAAATATTAAAATTGAGAGCAAGCAGTTTATTCATGTAATTTTATTTTTTCTTCCAAATCAAGGCTTGAAATCCAACTAGTTTAAAGCATCTGAAACCCACCTCTCTAAGAACAGGCACACCTGCAGAAGAGCAAAGTTCTCATTGACCTTGGGAACACAGCAGTTTCAATGGAATAATCTCATTTACTAAAAAGAAAACCATATGTGAATCAACATTAACCACTCTTAGCCCACATCAGGGATGATGGCTCCCTTGGCACTAGTTTGAATTTTGAGCTAAGGAATTTGGCCTGAGCTTCCCCCATGCTTAGCCAGAACAGATTGATAAAGAGGTACAACATTAGCTTAATCAGTTGCTCCATATTTCTGCATTTTTCTAAATATGTCCCTCATAAGTCTGCTTTCAATGGAAATAGAGAAAGAATGCTTCCACATATATTTTTTCTTCTAAAACCAGTTCCCCATGCATCAGAATGCATTGAACTTAGCAAATATGAGTAATAGCACTACTAATACATTTATTGCGCACCTACTTTGTGTCAGGAACCAGCTTTTAAAACTTTACTTTGTTTCTTTGTTACTTTGAGTCCAAAAAATTACTTTGTTTCTCATATCTACAAAAATTCATCTAAAATAACTATTATCCCCATGAAACAGATAAGAAAACTAAGGATCAGAGAGGCTATGTGATTTGCCCAATGGAAGATTAATTACATAGGGCCCACAAAACATTTATAATATAATGATGATCCATAAGCATTGATTAACATTTTTCTACCTTTTGTACTTAAAAGGCAAATAGCCAACTTTTATATAGTGTTTATCATATGCTGGGCATTGCTCTGAGCACTTTATATGCATTAACTCACTAAGTATTTCTAGTAACTCTTTGAGGAAATTGTTGTTATTATTCCCATTCTACAGGGAAGGAAACTGAGACAGAGGGAGTTCAAGTAACTTGCCCAAGGTCAAAAAGCTGATAAACAAAGGAACCATGATTTAAGCCAGCAATTGGCTCCAGACTATGGGCTTTTAACCATGATGTTATATAAATATTAAGTAGATTCCAAATAGCCCTTTTTATATTTGTTTATTAAAATGTATCACTACATGCTACTTGTACATTGGGATTTATTAGAACAATACAGAATGTCAGTGTGAGTAATTCTACTCTAATCCTCTACCTGCCAAAACATGGGCAGGGGAGACATATCAGGTATCAGAGGCATCATGCTGTATAAGAAGAATTCTGGGTTTTTTCCAGCAGTCAAAAATTTCAGAGCAGTAAGCATTTCATCTTAAGTAAAGGTGATTTTTGCAGACCCCCTACCACATCTAAACAGTACCACAAACAGTGGGTGGGAGGAGATATACATAAACAGCCTTATAGTACTACGAGAGGTGGCACCTGACGTATAATTTCCATGAAGTTGCCTTTTCTGAGTGACAGCATCATCACAATTGTGATGCATAAAGATAATATAGTGAATATGAAAGGAAATGAATGCATATGCGGTGGATGGCACTTCATAAAAGAAGGGAAATCTAAGAGAATAATAAAATTCTGTTCGAAATAAAGGAATAAAAGGGATAATGTTATAATATCTAGTAATTTCTGATGGGTTTGTTGAATTTGAAGCGGAGGAAAAGAAATGATTAACAATCTGTCTTATGGGAACTGGTCATGATGTAACAGCTTGAATTGAGAGATTTGTTCTACAAAAGCCAAAAGACTTGTTAGCAAATAATAATTTCATTAAACAATAAAAAATATGTATCTGTAGAGGAAAGACAATTACAACATTCTTTTCACTTAATAAAATAGCAAATATCACCACTGAACTCAGACATGGGCACTGCCCAGATTTTAAGTCTTGAGATAGTCATAAGAATGGGAGTCTCTCTGAGTGTTGGTGTTGTTTCCTTCCTCCATCCCTCCTTTCTTACTCCCCTGAGAGGTCAGCCTGGGACAATTACAGGGTTGCTATCACAGCAGCTGTCCCTGTTGCATGGTGCTGATTTTCTGCATGGAAAAAATGTGGACTCCAGAGAGATATGATAATGTGAGGTAACATTAAATCTGAATCTGGTAGGGGAAGACACAGGTTTATTGTACTATAGGAAAAAAATACTGAATATAAATTCTTTCCTTAGAATTTTTATTGTTACCATTGTCATTCTGGTTTTACTTAGCCACTAATACTCTGAAGTGAATTATCTGAATTGAATTAATGAAGTATACAAATAACTTAAGGAAGTTTCAACCCCTAGTTTCTAGCCCCTGTATATAATTTAATGAACAAATAAGAGAAGATGAAATGATAAAATGAATGCATTGTTTTCTTAATCAAAGTAGATAAAATGTTTTTGAAAATTTAATATCTTCTCTTAAGCTATAAAATCTATTAATATGACTTTTTTTCTAAAAAGAAAAGAAAATATTTCTCTTTTGCCTCTTTCTTAGAATTGTCTAATCCACCTAAAAGCCACTTTCTACATTTCAGAACTTGACTGCTCACCACCCTCAAGAGGAGATTCCTACATAATCATTTAAAAATTTCAAAATGTATGGTTTTGTAGAATTATGTATTCATTATGACTACATCCAAAGCTTGGTATCAAAAGCTAAACTATTTTTTCTTCTGAAATATAAGTACTGCAACTAAGGTGGCGTGGCACTATTGAAAGCAGCTTGCCATATGCCTTTGATTTCACTGACAGACATGCCATCTGCCACCACATTCAATAATAATTCAAAAAAAAAAATCAAAAAGAATAATGGCAGAAGATTGTGACCAAATGCAAAAATATTGTCCCTCATGTGTGGTCTGGGATCAGACTTGGGTACTCGTTCCGATTACTTCTAGACATGAAGTCAATGACAGACAGAATCAACTAAGTTCCCCTTTCTCCTGTGGATGAAGAACTGAGAACAATGTAGTTCACTCAGTGTGATTATTGATACAGATTTAGAGAGAAGTCTTTGATGTGAATGTAAAACCCAAAGAACCTAAAGCAATTTATATTTTAAAGGAGTTTTGGCCCAGGGACTGGGATTAAAACAGGGAGAACTTTCTTATGCACAGTTAATTTATTTGTAAAAATTCAATACCTTCAAGGGGGGTTGATGAGAGAAAAAATGGCAAGAAATTGGGGACTCTTAGGGAGAATATATTTATATTGAGGGAAATGTGTAAGTCTATTTTGGTACTATATTTTATTAAGTGCTAAATCATCCAAGTGTGTATTTTAACTCTATATAATAAAATTACTATGATAAATCCCTTAAGATGATTCCAAAAGAACAGAGGTAATTTTTCTAAGAAGCTTAAAAATAGAAATCTCCCTCAAATGCATCTAGACAGTGCCCTTACAGTCACTATTTTGCCCCAAAAGTGAAAAAGAGTAGAACAAAATTTAAATTATACAGGAAAAACTTTATAAGTAACCATGTGTTTATTTGAAGGAGGAAAAGATTCAAACCCTAAGAACCAAATTTTGGCTGAGAGAATACTGTGTTAGTCCATTTCGTGTTGCTATAACTGAACACCTGACTGAGGCTGGGTAATTTATAAAGAAAAGATTTGTTTTGCTCACAGTTCTGCAGGCCAGGAGGTTCAAGAAGCACAGCACCAGTGTCTGCCCAGCTTCTGTTTTTTTGTGCTGTACCATGATGTGACAGAAGGTCAAAGTTCCGGGAAGTGGACACACATGCAAAAAGACAAAACCTGAGGGGCATCCTGGCTTAATAACAATGCACTCTGTGGGAACCAAATTATTCCTACAACTATTTCAGTCTCCCCTGAGCAAGAACTCTCTGGTTACCTGGAGAAGGGCACCAAGTCGTTCATAAGGGACCTGCCCCTGTGACCCATACACCTCCCACCAAGCCTCACCTTCCAACACCAGCACATTAGGAATCAACCTGAGTTTTGGTAGGGACAAGCAAAACATATCTAAACCATAGCAGACACCATATGAACAATGCAGCTGGATTTTGGCCAATGTTTTCCTTGTAAAAGAAAAGAAAGAACATATCACTAAACTACAAAACTAATTTTGAGAACAAAATACAAACCTGTTTCAAAAATCTATAGCCAATATTACAGGGCACTCTTGGGCCTAGCTTGTGAGATTTATTTGAGATATTTTATTCCAGATAACCAAGAGAAAAAATGGTTTCTGAATAATAGAATTTACAGTACTCTTCTAAGAAATAAAGTTAAATGGAAATGTATTACAGCTCCCCCAAAGTATCTAATTATTACAAATAACTATTTGGCCCTCTCTAGCAAGTTTATACCACCATTTATAGAAAAGTATTTAATAGGCACCTAAAAAGGCATTATAGGAAAAGAAGGTAAGTAATATATGCCATTTATATATCACTTTATAATTTATTTACAATATATTTTTACTTGCTTTATTTATAAAACATATTTTCCTGTTTTATCATAACAAACTCAGGCTTAGCAGGGTTAATCACCTGCCTAAAGTCAAACCACTAAGTGTTGGAATCAGAAGTGAACATAGGTCTTGGGCTCCTTGTGCTCTAGTACCTTTCAGCCCAAGATACTGCACTTCAACATTCAGGGTTTGAAATACAATTCCACATGGTTCCCCTCAATATTTTCCATCTTCTTTGATTGGAAGTACACTGGAAACAGTCACATTTTAAGCTTTCCTCAGCAATAGACATTTCTGTATAAACTAAGGATTTAGAAATTTACATGCAAAAGTGAGGAGAAGTATCTTTATGTCACAATTTGACACAATCTAGTTGTGTGGCAAGTTATTCATGCATGAAATAAACATAGTAAACAAGATGTCCCCACTAAAAAAATCATGTATTGACATAAAAAAGTGATCATTTTATCAGTGCAATTAGACAATCAGACATTGTATCATCGGGTTAATGTAGAATAAACACCTATGAATTTGTCTATCCAAATCCAATTTGCACACATAGTTTATTAAAACTTGTTGGCATAGCACAGTAGTTATTAGGGAGAGAATCTTGAGTAGTAAAATGAACAATCTCTCTGCAAATTATCCAATAACTTATTTGTGGAGAAGGTCCAATTTCAGAAACACTTCTGTTGCTCTGGAAATCCTACTTGAGATGCAGGGGTCACAGCAAATGTAGGTGTCTCCCAGGGAAATCTTCAAAGATGAGATGAATAGGGTAATGCAAGAAAAGTCTAAAATGTGCTGAATTTGTTGGAGAAAAAAAATTTAAGTCATTGAATAATATTTCTCTGAACCATATTATATCTATCATTTCTAGAAATATGTAAAACTATTAAAAGAAAAAAGCAAAGGAAGCAGCAGAAGCTGGAAAAGGGCAAGAATGTAAAGCAGATAAGAAAACAGATGTCTTTGCAGTATACTTCTTATGGGATAAAACTGAGTCAAAATACTCCAGGGCATGACATTATGCCTCTGACCAGGAGGGAGAGAGATCTGGGATGTGGATAGAGGCATTTATAGAGTGCAGTTGAAGCTCCCATCCATTCCTTGTCTTGACTCAAATCTGCAGGGTCCCTCATCCACAAGGGAGTCTTCCCTTAACTTAGTGCAGTGGTCCTCAACCTTTTTGCATGAGGGACCAGTTTCATGGAAGACAATTTTTCCACAGACAAGGGGTGGGCAGGGGAGGGGAGACAGGATGGCTTCGGGATGATCCAAGCCCATTACATTTATTGTGCACTTTATTTCTATTATTATTACATTGACACCTGACACTTACTGATAGAGTTTTGATATGAGTCTGCAAGCAATTGATTGATTATGATCTCTGTGCAGTCAAACCTCTCTGCGAATGATAATCTGTATTTGCAGCCACTCCCCAGTGCTAGCATCACTGCCTCAGCTCCACCTCAGGTCATCAGGCATTAGATTCTCATAAGGAGCTAGACCCCTCACATGTGTAGTTTACAGTAGGGTTTGCCCGCCTAGTAGGGTTCCTGCTGATCTGACGGGAGGCAGACTTTAGGTGATGACACTGATCTAACAAGAGGCAGAGCTCAGGGGGTGATGTGAGTGATTGGGAGTGGCCATAAATACAGATGAAGCTTTACTCTTTGCCCACCACTTACCTCTTGCTTTGTGGCCCAGCTCCTAACAGGCCATGGATCAGTACTGGTTTACTGCCCAGGGGTTGGGGACTGCAGACTTAGTGGATCTAAATATGTTAATAAAACATTGCCCAGAGCTCTTCAAATAAGAAGGTGGAATGAGATGATCTCTAAGGCTTCTTCCAATTTTGACAAGAGAATTTGATGATCAAAAATCCTAATTCTATTTTTAATTTAAAAATTGGAAATTTTTGTTAAAAATCCATGGTTCAGGGGCTCTTTTATCCACAGGTTGAGAGATAGATGGTTGATATTATACAGTCAATTTTCTATTAAGTTTGGGATACAGTTTTTGTTTCCAGATAATGGAGGAAATTCTCTTAATTGATACTTGTTTTTAATTCTTCTTCTTTTTTTTTTTTCATTTTCCAGTTGCTCTTTTTTCACTTGCCAGTTTAGGAATTTGCTTGGCTCTTTTCCTCCATTTAATGACTATATTTAAAAAAGGATTTGGCTAGGTGCCTAGAGGCTCTTGGGTGTTGGGTGCCATATAAACAGAATTAATTACTAACTTCAGTGCCAATATCACATCACTAGCAATGAGAGGTTAGTTGATTTAAAAAAGACAGTAGTGAGAATTTCAACAAATAATAGCATACATAAAATAAAAAATTAATAGAGATAATCCTACCTTGTAAACATGTGTATGTTTTTTTCCCAAATGTATTCATATATATTATTTCACCTGGTTGTCAAAACAACCTCATGTGTTAGCTGCTACAGATATTACTAACCCTATTTTACAAAATTAAGGAACTAAGCCTTAGAGATGTTAATCTGCTACATACATGTTTTATTCACTCAACAAATACTTAAAGAAAACCTACTAAGTGCCATTGTTGCACTAGGAATTGTAGGGTGAGCAACTGTCACAGTTTGCTCAGAACTGAGGGGTTTCCCAGGATACAGACTTCCAGTGCTCAAATGGTACAGTCCTAAGCAAACTGAGATGGTTGGTCACCCTAACACAGTCTGGTCATCCTAACAGTACATCATGGTGTAAGTCACAAAATAAGCTGTTTGTCAGATGGAGATCTCTTTCTCTTTCATTTCATTATCCTTGTCTTACTTAGGAATTTTCCTTCTATACTAAAATTCTCTTTAATGTTGCCAGTGATCCCCTAAGCACCAACAATATCCCTCTGCCCCCCCAACCTATTTGCCCTGTTTAACATTTTGACTACTTTAATTCTTTCCCTTGCTCTTCTCTCTCCTTTTGTAATGCCCTGCATCCTCCCATCTAAACTTTAGGCACACGGCACACAAATGTATATCCATAGCTGCCATGTGATGGGTTTTGACACCTGGATGTGTATGATTGAAAGCTATCTCCTTGACTTCTGGCTACCCCACCAAGTACTCAAATGTTGTTTTCTCAAAACAAAAATGTTGTTTTCTCCACAGCCAAGTCCTCCTCTTGACTTTCCTATCTGTTTTTTGAAAACACAGCTCTCTTGGGACGAGGCTCAGTCTCAGTCACCAGCATCCCTTTCTCCCCCTAGTCACATCTGAGGTTACTAGTTTTGAGCAAGCAGTCCTCTAGAAAGTCTTTCCCATTCCTCCCTTCCTCCCTCTGCCTCCTGCTGCTACCACCTTAACTAAATTCCTCTTTACCTCCCTCTTGGATTGTTTCCTAGTCTCCTGCCTGAAGCAATGCCACCCTCCTTCCTCCCACTCATTTTTTAATTCACTCCAATTTAGTCTGCACTTTTCCCAGGTTCAAATAAATTCCAGTCTTAATTCCTAATGTTCTTTGATATGAACCACCCCCTCCCCCATTCTCCAGCCCAAATAAACCACTTGCTATGCAACCCTTTCCTCTCTGTGCCTTTGTTATGTTATTCTTTATGCGTGTAATATTGTTTCTGGTGAAAATCTTACTCACCTTTCAAGTGAATCTTAAATTTCGAAGTTTCACAGAAATGTTTTATAGTTTCAAAAGGATGTGAGCATTCCCTCCTTTGAACTCATTTCACTTTGTACTTCTGAATTATTCATCTCACCTGATTTATATAGTAATTATTTGTATTCTTTTCTTGGTCTTCCAACCATATTGTATACTCCTTGAGACCAAGATGGTCAGACTCATTAGAGTATTGCTGCTTAACCCAGCAGGGGTTTGTCATATTTTTATTAAAGATTGAATTGCTCTAACTCCTCACCCAATTCTGGCTTGTAAAATGCCTTTTATAAATTAGTCATTTCAGATATTTGCAATTTAGTGTGTGACTTAAGCAAATACATAATGAATGCATGAACAGTGTACTTTAAAAAAAAAAAAAGCACAACTCAAACACCAAAGGATTATCCAACATCGAAAGTTCCTGAGCACAGAGGTATCCACTAGGATCGTTACTTTAGCATGCTTGTTTGTACACAAACATGTTGCCAATCCAGCCAGCTCTTTATCAGCTCCCCTGCAGAAAAGGCCACAGAGTAGGAGAGCTATTCCAGGCTGGGCAATCACTTGTGTTCAGAAAATAGACTTTAATTGAGTAATTTTTCAGATGGTTGAAATTGAATTGCTATTGCACTGCAGGAAGAATTCATGTTTGGGGCCTAAATTGTTTCTCCCTCATTTACAGGGGCCACAACATAAGCATAGATTCATGCAGTTTGGTAATTATAAATATTTGGATTTTAGGACAATCTCAAAAGAAACTCATCAATTTAGGCTTTAAAGGGTTGTACTTAATTAACCTGGAATCAATTGAAACACTGGAACTAAAAGGTTCATTACAGTATTTGTTTAGTCTTTATGGACCCAATTTCCAAAATAACAAAATTAAAGAGAAGTAGACTCATTTTTCATGATGTTTTCAAAATATTATTCTAAAGGCTTTGGACTTGCATCTGGAGGGGAAAATAAGAAATTAATGAGAAAAAAAAGTCTTATTATATTTTACCTTATCCACTGCCCCTCTTTCAAATCTCTCCCCATCGTAAAGTTTCTTCAGCCATGCACAATCCCTGCAGGGACTGCAACCTCAGACACTGCCTTCAGTGCCTAGAGGATTGAGACTTAGTCTTTGCATCTTAATTACAGCTGATTTTTATTCTTGTGTTCCGAGCTGAGTTATAGCAAGGAAAGAGGAGATGAATGAGTGACCCATGCATCTGGCATCTAATATTTGCTGCTTTAGATTTGGGGTTTGATTTAAGGTCTCTACCAGAGAGTTTGAGGAAGCAAAGTCTTTTATCTTCTTTAAATAAATTCATGCACTGACACATGATTTACCTTCTCTGGCAGTTTTATTATTCAGAACAATGGGCTTTTTTAGTTGTGCAATATTTTGGCTTTTCCGTTTCCTCTCACATTTATAAACAAAAACATTCAGCTTAGCAATTTAAACAAAGATAAAACAGAAGCGATGCATGGCACTGAGACTATGAAAATGCCATGTTGTCATTGTCATTTTTAAAATAAAGGACATAGAATTGGAATCAAAAGAGTCCTCAACCTTTATATTTAAATAACAACTTAAATTCAGTACATTAAAATGACCTTTCTGTGGATGTATTTTATTTGTTACCTCTTCACCCTTCATTCTATAAGAAACTTTGTATGAGTCAGTTTATGAATAATTAGGACTTCTGCTCTGCATGAAGGCTCCAGCCACAGCGGTGAGTGGAGCCCAAGTCCCACCTCTGTTCCACTAGCCAATTGCATATAGCTGCCTCACAGTAGCCTTTTCCCAAATGACTGAGCACCTCTTTTTCAACACACATATGCCATCTGTTCTTCCAAACTTTTCCAGGCACTGCACTGGCTCATAGGGATACATTTTGTCCTAATTGACCTGCTTAGAAAAGGCATTGTTTTCTAGTTTGCACAAAAGCACCACATACGCTAGCTACAGCATGGATCTGATACATGTTTCTAGATGAATGATGGAAACAGAATGCAACCATAATTAAGCAGATTTTACTAACAGAAAGAAATCATACAACAGTTTGCTAATCTGGCATTTACTTGCATGGAAAGTCAAATAATGACAGAAAGGGAAGTTGGAAAAACACTTGGGATTCTGGCAGAAAGTGTTCATAGGAGTATGTCCCATTGGAGAAGGTGTTATGGAGTAAGTAGGGCCTCAGGGATATGAGAACTGGGTTTATGTCACTCAGTGCAGCATCATTACCAGGAGGACAGGTGGAATGGAATAACCTGATGATTACTGTGAAGTAGAACACACTTTAGCAAGGTGTGTCTCCAGGTGGAATATTCATTCTAAGAACAAGACAGTACTGCACACAAAGGCACATCTTGAGTTTAACAGGGAAATCACTGAGGCAACAGAAGATAACAAAGACATATAATAACTATAAAGTATGTCCTTGGAAGAAATGGACAAACCTGATTGCTGTCTTCTTCATCTCCCAGTGGATGCTGTTGGAGAAATCAACCTCTCTGCAATAGATGCTGCTATGATTGCACGCTCTCCTGCAACTCTCGTGTTTCCCTCTTCTTTTTACAATGAGAACTGTTTCAGTTCTTCTTCTGACCAGTCTCCAACCCTATCACTTCCCCCTTTACTTATAGTAGATGTTAACTAACGTTTTACAGATAAATTGAAGATGAGCTACTGACAGCTTCTACTTAAATCATTCATTCATTTAATAAGTATTGATTAAGGATTTGCTGTATGCCAGGTACAATAACAGATGCTGTTTATAAAGAGATGAACAAAGAGACAGGTTCCTGTGCTCTTTGAGCTTACTGTCCTAACCAGAACCACATTCATTCTTCCTTTCTTCCTGCCTTATTAAATCTTATTAACTCTGTACTAGATCCTGTGTTCTGTATCTTACCCCACAAACTCTCCTCAGTGTTTTAAAAACACTCCCTCCTCACTCTTTTATGTTCTCTCTCCTTCCTATCACCATGTAATATTCAGTTCTCTTTAAAGTCCCCCCCAAGCTCTCCTGAGATTCTGCTCCCTCACGTGCACACTCACTCTCTCTCTCTCCCTCTCTTCCTCACAGATTTAATGGGCGCATTGCTGGCTCTTGGTATCTTCACTTCCTCACCTGCCATTCTAAAATTGCTAAGCTTGCTCTCCTTAGAGTTACAAAACCCAGTGAGTACATTTTATATCTTACTGACTCTTTGGTAGCATTTTAAATGTTAAGCAAACGTTTCTACATTAATAATTCCCTTCTCTAGTCTTCCAAAGCAACACAAACTCTGGTTTTCTTCTTAAATTTCTGGCCACCAATTCTCAGTCTCTTTTACATACTTCTCTTCCTCTAGACTTCAGATAAATGCTGGCATTGTGCTAGGTCCTCATCTCTTTTCCCTCTCTACACCTCTCTTGGATGATCTCACCAGTGAAATGGTTTCAGTTACATAAACTTGTGAATTTTAAATCTTAATGTAAGAATCAACTGGAAAATTGGATTTGGTAGACATAGTTTGGGCCAAATTTAGCATTTTAAGAAACACTCCTGATAATCCTGAGAAAAGTCATGACCACACTCAGACTACCCTTAAACTCTGAGCTAAACTATAAATTCTATGAATGTACAATTGTGTCTGTCTTACTTATTATGGTATTCTCAGTTTTCCGCCAACCCCCAAATTCAGTGAATGAGCCCATCACCCACTAATATCAATCAGAAACCCCAATTCTTCCATCCACCTCAACTCTACCAACCAATTAACAAGCATTTCTACTTTAATCTTCTAATATTTTGCAAGTGCCCCCATTCCTTTGCAGCACTATTGCCAACATGCTGGTCTAGGCCACCATCTTTTCTCAACCAGATTATTCCAATGTTCTTCTAACTAGTCACACGGCCTCTATTCTTACTCCACATTTTTAAACAAAAATTACATCACTACAGTCCAAACGTATTATCATGGTTTCCATTGCCCTTTATGAAACAGCCTCTGCTTGCCTCAGTAAACTCATTTTCATCATTGCTTACCCCTGTTCACCCCACTTTATGCTCTGCTACAATATTTTGCAAGGTATTTTCCTTGCTTTTTATTCTAATGGCATTTCCTTTTACAAAAGCCTTTAAATATATATTTATTTAAATGTCTGTTCCAAGTGAGAATTTTTATTTTAGGTCTGATCTATATAAGCTACTTACTTTTTTTCATATTTTCACTCCTTTAGAGTTTCCAACTACTATTTTTCCGCTTTTGTTAATTTAATCTAAAGTCATTGATGTAGATTATTACATTAAATTATTACTGCACTATTAATTTTATATGATACATCTTTTCTTTCAAGAATAAATTTAAAAATTTTAATTGTTTCATAACAATAAAAATAATTTCAAATTTTTTCTATTTAATTAGTTTCAGTGAAAATCTTTTTTAGTACTTTTATGCTTTCTCATTCTACTAAATTGTACCTCTAATAATTTTTCAAGAATGTGAATAAAAGTTTAATATATTTTCTTAATAAAACTTGAAATTATCTTTCTATTACCTAAATGACAGGTTGATTATATAATATATTCTTGGTCACAGAATTTTTCATACCCTCCATATTGTTTGTGGTTTTTACTATTCATTCTGCATCGAACAACATGAGGCCAAACTGGATTTTCTTTCTTTGAAAATAAATTACTTTTGTCTGCTTAGATAATTATAAAAAATTTTAATCTATGCAGTTCAATATTTTCTTATTCTGTGAACAAGGGAGATATATATTCACTGTATTTTTCCTGGAATTAGAGTGAAGGTTTTCAATCTACTGTTGAATAATTAAGCTTCCTAAAATCTCACCAAAATCAACCTCTAAATAAGATCAACGTGAGTTTATAGCTTACCTTGGTAAGAGAGAATATTACTGGTCAGTGTTAGTGGCACTCTCTTTTCTCTCTGAAAAGAGAGAGAGCAAAATTAGGATATTTATTAGATTTAGAAGTCGAGCTTAAAGTAGGGCTTTCAATGGGGAAAGGAAAAGGAAGAAGTTTTATTAGAGTTGGGTAAGGATCACAATAGCACTATATGGAATTGGTAGAAAAGATACCACAGGTAGGAAAGGATTTTGAGGAAAGAGGATCCAAGTGTCTTGGAAAAAAATAAACACAATAGCATTATCATTCCTAAAAAATTAATAATATTTCTTAATATCTTTATATAATAGTATTCAAACTTCCCCACATTACAGAATAAATTTGGGAGGTGAAAAAAGTATGGTGGGATATAACCTTTCCTTTAATACTTCCTGTTGAAGACTAGGTAGGTAAAGGTGAAAGTCTCAAGAAGTTTCTGGAATAATCAATAAAGTTAATTTGAAAAAAAAAAAAATTCAAAGAGAAACTTAAGTCATTTGCAGTTTTTATCTTCCAGAACATGAGTTTCTGGAAATAAACAAAGCCATGTTAATGTAAACAGTAGCAGTCTGGGTATTTCAGCTTTTAATGCATACATGTTTCAGCTTTTAATGCATACATGTTTTTTTTCAGTTCAGGAAAATATTATTTGATGTGGGGTGGGTTTTTTTTCTTTTGTTCTGAGCTCTTCTTCAGAATTAATGATGCAAAACATGACCACTTGTTTTCTGAGATTTTTCATTATCTTCCCAACTTGGGGAAACTGATTCACAAAGTGTCACCTGAGAGGAAGAAAAGGTGCCTCAATTTATGTTTTGTTCATATCTTGGGTCTAAAGTTACAGAGTGGATACAAAAAAAAGGGAGGTATAAAGTATCATAGTTCTTTTTTGTTAGATAAAATCTTCTGTGACATAGAAACAAGGCTTGAAATAAACCAAAGCCTAGAAAGATTTTACCTCAATCCATTTCCATTGCTTAAAAATTATTGTCAGTCTCTTCCAAATGGTTGATGTATGTCTCTGTGCTTATATATGTAGATATAGGGGTACATATAAAAAATTTTTTCATTTGGAATAATTTTAAATTTGCAAAAATGCTTCAAAGACAGAACAAAGAGTGCTCATATATCCTTTAGCCATTTTTACCCATTTTTGTCATCTTACATTATCGTGGTACATGAAATAAATATTGGCACACTACTAAACTCCAAAATTTATTTGGATTTCACCAGTTGTTTTTTTTTTTTTTCATTAATGTCTTGTTTGTGTTCCAGAATCCAATCTAGGGTACCACATTTTGTTTGAAAGTCATATCTCCTTAGTCTCTTCTGGGATTTTACAGTTTCTGTCTTCATTTGTATTTTTATGTCTTTGAATGTCTTGAGGGGTACTGGCCAAATATCTAATCTGGGTTTGTATCCACCAGAGAAACAGAACTAGGACATCTGGATGAGTGAAAAGATAGATAGATAGATAGATAGATAGATAGATAGATAGATAGATAGATAGTAAGGAATTGGCCTGTGTGATTATGGGGCTGGCTAGGCAAGAACAAAATCTGTTGAGCAGGCTATCAGGAAAGCTAGACTGGAAACTATCAGGCAGGAGCTGAATTTGCAGTCCAGAATGTCTCCTTCCTCAGAGAAACATTACTTCTTTTCATTCAAATTATTATTCTTTTAAATTTCAATATATTAAGGGGATACGATCGTTTTTGTTACAAGGACCTACTCTATAATGGTGAAGTGAAGGCTTTCAGTGTACCCACCACCAGAACAATGTTCACTGTACCCAACAGGTAAGTTTTTATCCCTCACCTCCCCTGACCTTCCCCTTTTTTAGTTACATCTTTTTGTGCCCATATGCACCTATCATTTAGCTCCCACTTATTAATGAAAACATGTTGTGTTTGTTTTGCCATTCCTAAGATATTTCACTTAGGATAATGGTCTCCAGTTGCATCCAAGTTGCTGCAAATTACATCATTTCATTCCTTTTTATGTCTGAGTAGTATTCCATGGGATGGATGGATATATATATATATTTGGCTTATTTCATCCACTTGTGTATTGATGGGCACTTAGGTTGATTCCACATATTTGTAATTGTGAAACATGCTATGATAAACATATGAGTGCAGATGCTTTTTGATGAAATGATTTCTTTTCCTTTGAGTAGATATCCAATAATGAGATTGCTGGATCTGATGGTAGGTCTACCTTTAGCTCTTTGAGAAATCTCCATACTATTTTCCATAGAAGTTGTATTAATTTTCAGTCTCACCAACAGTGTATAAGCATTCCTTTTTCTCTGCATCCATGACAACATCTGTTGTTTTTGACTTTTTAGTAATGGTCATTCTGACAGGGGTAAGGTGGTATCTCATTGTGATTTTAATGTTCATTTCCCTGATAATTAGTGTTGTTAAACATTTTTTCATATGTGTGTTGGCCACTTGGCTACCTTCTTTGGAAAAAATTCTGTTCATGTCTTTTGTGTACTATTTGATGTTTTTTTTTCTCTTCTTTCTGTTTTGTTTGAGTTCCTTGTAGATTCTGTAAATTAGTTCTTTGTCAGATGTATAGTTTGCAAATATTTTCTCCCATTCTGTAGAGTTGACAGTTTACTCTGTTACTTATTTCCTTTGTTGTGACGAAAGTTTTTAATTTAATTAAGTCCCATTTATTTATTTTTATTGCTTCTGTATTTGTCTTTGGGGTCTTAGTCGTAAATTCTTTGCCTACGCATACATCTAGAAGAGTTTTCCTATGTTTTCTTCTAGAAGTTTTATGGCTTCATGCCTTATATTTAAGTCTTTAATCCACCTTAAATTAATTTTTGTATATGGTGAGAGATAGGGGTCCTGTTTCATTCTTCTGCATGTGGCTATCCAACTTTCTCAGCACCATTTATTGAATAGAACATCCTTTCTCCAGTGTATATTTTTGTCTGCTTTGTCAAAGATCAGTTGGTCATAGCTATAGAGTTTTATTTCTGGGTTCTCTATTCCGTTCCATTGGTCTGTGTCTCTAATTTTATACCAATTTAATGCTGTTTTAGTTACTATAGCCTTGTAGTATAATTTGAAGTCAGGTAATGTGATTTCTCAAGATTTGTTCCTTTTGCTTAATATTGCGTTGGCTATTCAGGATATTTTTTGGTTCCAAATGAAGCTTAGGATTATTTTTTCTAGATCTGTGAAATATGATGCATTTGATGGGGATTGCATTGAATCTGTAAAGCCCTTTGGGAAGAACGGGCATTTTAAAGATGTTGATTCTGCCAATCCATGAGCATCTTTGGGCAGACTGGACATTTTAACAATGTGGATTCTGCCAATCATTGAGCATGGGATGTTTTTCATTTCTTTGTGTCATCTACAATTTCTCTCATCAATGTTTCATAGTTCTCCTTGTAGAGATCTTTCACCTCCTTGATTAAATATATTCCTAAGTATTTTATTTTCTTCATAACTTATTGTAAATGGTATTGATTACTTGGTTTGACTATCAACTTGACTATTATTAGTGTATACAAATGTTACTGATTTTTGTACATTGATTTTTTTAACCTGAGACTTTTCTGACTTTATTTATCCATTCTAGTGGAATCTTTAGGGTTTTCTAGACACAGGATCATGTTGTTGGCAAACAGGAATAGTTTGACCTCCTCTTTCCTGATAAGGACGCTCTTTATTTCTTTCTCTTGACTGATTACTTTGGCTAGGTCTTTCGGCTCTATGTTGAATAGAAGTGGTGGCAGTGGGCACCCTTGTCTTGTTCCAATTCTTAGGAGGAATGCTTTCAACTTTTCCTCATTCGATATGATATTGGCTGTGGTTTGGGCATATATGGTTTCTATAATTTTTAAGTAAGTTATTTCTATGCACAGTTTCTTGAGGGTTTTCAAAATTAACAGGTGCTGGATTTTGCTGAATGCTTCTTCTACATATATTTGGATGATCCTGTGGTCTTTGTTTAAACAATACAAAGGAACAATGAAACAAAAAGTTGGTTCCTTGGAAAGATAAACAAAATCAATAGACCACTAGCCAGATTAACCAGAAATAGAAGAGAAAGGACTCAAATAACCTCAATCAGAAATGACAAAAGGTACATTATAACTGATACCACAGGAATACAAAATATCATCCATGAATACTACAATAATCTCTATGCACACAAACTAGAAAATCTAGAGGAAATGGGTAAATTCCTGGAAACACACAAGCTCCCAAGCCTGAATCAGGAAGAAAGATAAATCCTGAACAGGCCAATAACCAGCAGCAAGATTGAGGCAGTAATAAGAAATCTCTCACACACATATACACACAAAAGCTTTGAACCAGAAAGATTCACAGCCTAATTTTACCAGACCTACAAAGAAAAACTGGTACCTATCCTACAGAAATTATTTCATAATATTGAGAAGGAGGAAATCCTCTCTAACTCATTCTATGAAGCTAGCGTCACCTTGATACCAAAGCCAGGAAATAACACAACAACAACAACAAAAAGAAAACTACAGACCAATATTCCTTAAGAACATTAATGCAAAAATCCTCAACAAGGTACTAGCAAACTGACTTCAGCAGCATATCAAAAACATAATTCACCATGATCAAGTGGGTTTCATACCAGGGATGCAAGGATGGTTCAACATATACAAATCAGTAAATGTGATTCACCACATAAACAGATGCAAAAACAAGTCATTCAATTTATTGAGGGTAATCTTTGATTAAAATAAACTGATTGTAGAGGTTAACCACATATACAAAATGTTTTCACAGCAACATCTGGACTAATATTTGAGTGGATAACTTGGTACTGTTGCTTAGCCAGTTGATACATAAAACAGACAATCACACTATGTTATGGGTTTTTGAAAGTATGCAACAAAGGTACATCACAATATATTGAGGAGTACATGATATTACATCACAGCAATGTTAATCTTTATCATTTTAAGGTGGCATTTTCCAAGTTTCTTCATAGTAAATCTATCACTTTTCCTCTATTCTTTTCTTTTTCTTTTCTTCT